TCTATCTATCTATCGTCTCTGACTCGACGGCACTTAACAACAATAATAATGTTTAAAATTATATAATGTTTAAAATTTTAAAAAATTGATATTTTAATGAAAATTTACAGAAAACTTAAATTGCCATTCATTCATTGTTGCACATCTTCCTCCCTGTTATTTTTTAAATAACCTTTAATAAGAAGGTTAATTAATGTTCTTGGATGCTACCCTATATGTTACTATTTTATTTCCAGGCCTAAGATAGACTTTGAATACACAAGAGTAATTCAAAGGCAAGTTGTTCAAATCCACCTGTGGCTGTATGAGAGAAAGAATGGCAATCTCTTCCCACACAATTTACTGCTTCTGAAAACTTACTGTAGGGTCAGCTACAGGTTGATTCTGACTTGAGAGTACACAACAACAGCAGCAGCAGCAGCAGCAGCAGCAGCAGCAGCAGCAGCAGCAGCAGCAGCAGCAGCAATACAGTTCATTTAACCTTGAAGTAGACGTCCTCTCCATTTGGAAGTTCTATGACTATATATATTATCAAGACCACCAGGCCATTTGTAGTGATACAAAGTGTATGAAAAGCTAACTGATACCTTTCCCTTGATTTCAAAAGCCCACGTATTTCCACCTACCCGTTTTCACCCCTAAAGATTAGATAATGATGAGCAAGGTCCAATGGTGATTGATTTTATAAAACAATATATGGGAATGATTGTATGAAATGCAGTGTGAATGAAGAATAGTGTGAAACACAATGTATATGAACTTTGTGAGCAATGCTATCTATCGATCTATAAATAATATAATGAACATGAATGTATATATTTATATATATGTATATATATACACAGATACACACACACATATATATACATATATACACACATATATATGTGTGTGTATATATGTGTGTGTGTGTGTGTGTGTATATATACTCGACGGCACATAACAAACAACAACAAATATATATATATATTTATTTATTTATAAACAGAAGTGGCATCCATTTCCTAAACAACATGCCTCTGGAAACTTTCTGAACTTTGAAAAATGACAATAGGCTTCAGGTCTTTTGTTCATTGAGTTGTTATGAGTTGTACTCAATTTGATGGCAATCAGCAACAAATAATAACATCTATCTATCTATCATCTATTCTATCATCTATCTATCTATCTTCATCATCATCATTACCTATTATCTATCTATCATCTATCCATCATCTACATCTCCCAGTATTTACTGTGTTGTCGAATTTTAGCTTGTTTCAAGCTAATCCAAATATACTTCCAGTAAATAGACTTTGACCTTTTTTGTGCCAAATAACTCAGATGTTTTCTATAGTTCCCCCCTTCTCTGAAGTATTGAAGTTCCTCAACCAGTAGAAATTTCTTTAAATGGCATTAACTTGTCCTGACTCTTGCATAGCCTCTGGCACATTCAATTACTAATAAAGTCAGGCATCAGATTAATTGCTGAAAAGGAAGGACCCATTTGAGTGTACAACATTGATTGTTTTGAGGATCATTAACACAAGTTAATGTGAGCCATACGTGTAGGTCATGACTAACTGGGGTGATAATCTAATAGTTTAATTTGTTAAGAATCTGATTCTTTTTTCAGTTGTGATTAATTTCTCTTTAAAGAATCTGATTATTAAGAAATGGTTTCTATTTTCTGGGACATATGGAAATGCTATTAGTTTGAGTGTGCAAAATTGTATATATTTGTATTCTTAAAGCTAGAAGTCTGATTTAGCACTCAGGGACATGGTCCCAATCAACAGAATTAAATAAATAAATTCCACAAGTATAAAATCTGGCATGATATGGGAGGGGGAAAGTGTTTCACTTAATTGAATGTATTAGTTCATGGAGAGTTTACACAGATTACCAATTTTCAAAAATTTGAAATTCAATTAAATATATGAAGAACAGAAAAAACACTGGACATTATTTTGGATGTTAACTGGGCATCAATGGTGTCATATTAGCTTTGATAAAGCAAATATACACATATAGATCTTATTATGTTTCATGTGTGTTCTGAGTAAACTCTTTCTTGAATCACAGGAGACTCCCAATTACATTATAAACAATAAAACCATCTTTCAAGTTTCAAAGATTATTTGATAGTTTTTTCTTATAATGGTTCCAAATTGCCTTTTAAAATGATTTCAGTAGCCCTGAAGATTCTAAATCATACAGAAAGCTTTTCATCTCTTTGGTGAACTTAAGTCTACAAAGAAATTGGTTCTGTGATAAATCTTGCCTGCTCAGCAATCGGTAAGCATTCCCAGATATTGTGTGATAATCTAATGTGCTTTTATCACACTGCCACCTTTCAATGAGTCAGAGACAAGAGGACTCTGCCCTTCTCCCTGACCCCACTGACCAGCACTATAATAGAAAAAAGGAGCTCTGGTGGTAAGGAGTTAAGCTTCCAACCTAAAGGGACACTGTTAGAATTTACCATTTGCTTCTCTGGAGAAAGGCAATTTCTTTCTGTGCACGCTACTGCCTCTAAAAATTGATGGTAAAAGTAGAGATCACAAAACAACTATGAAATATCATCTCACCCCAGTAAGAACAACAAAATTTAGCAGAACAGCAAGCAACAAAGGCTGGCGAGGTTGTGGGCAAATTGAAACCCTTATTCACTGTTGGTGGGAGTGTAAAATGGTGCATCCACTGTGGAAAATGGTGTGACGCTTTGTCAAAAAGTTGCAAATAGAGATACCATTTGACCCAGCAATTCCACTACTGGGAATA